CAGGCACATGCGTGCCAGAACTCATGCCCATCATGAAGTTCAATAACTGCGAACGACTTATGCCGGTACGTATGATGACCACATAAATGATGCCGTCATTGAATTTTGCCTGTGGCACAAAAAAACAATCACTACCCAAATGTGTTTGATAAGCTGCCTGTACCATGACGAATTCACCTTCCTCCACAATCCAGTCGTCGGGTACGGGCTCCTCAAGCGTTGGCGCATTACCTGTTGGACCACAAAAATTTACACTCAAATTGCTGAGATGTAGGCGCCGCGATTCGCTGTCGCTATCACCTTCTACGCTCTGATAAATACTTTCCGAGACGGAATGGTAAGTACTGCGACAGGAGCCAGGTGAAAACCAACTGTCGCAACGTGAATGCAGTGATTGATTCAGCGAGTTTTGTAGTGAAATTACATCATAATATTTGCTTGCTTCAATGCATTCATTGGATTGAAAACAACCCCTGTTCAGTTTATCCAAACAGGTATTGCAACTTCTACTATGCTTCAATGGCAGTGGATCTGCCGCCGATAGCGATATTATATCGCTTTCCATGTAAAAATTATCCTTTGGAAGATATGACACTTTGCCCCGATATGTACGTAAACTTATAAGGCGATGTAAGGTCCAAATTGTAAATCTTTGATAGCCAAGCGAACGTAGGCGTTCGCTTTCGATATCAATATCTGAGATGAGTCCCCAACCAACGGAAAGGAAGGAATACAGTATCTGATAGAGAAGAAATAAATTGGTCCTTTAAAGTAAATTCATATAAAACTTAAGTATGTACATCTGTATATGTATTTATGCGGGAAAATTACTTGATTTTGTTGCTGTATTCGCACAACATCCATGGGAATGGATTTGCCGCTCAGCGTTGTCAGTGTAGCGCCCAAGATTGGCTTTGGCTCATATGGTTCTCTAGAATTAAACGTATAAGTAAATTTTGAGTTTTGAAAGTGAAATGAATTTATTGATACATATGTTAGTAAATAAGAATAAAATCTAATTAAAAATTCAATTTTATTAAAATCATTTATTTTTGGAAAACATTTTAGTTTTTTCGCAATATTTTTTCATTTGAAATTAATAAATGGTATCTATTACAAAAGGCAATTCGGATTTTGATGCGGCAAATGTTAAAGCTGTTTTTGATACAGTTTTTTTGGGCTCATTACGAATCCGTAAGTATAAAGTTTCCATTGGCTCCAGATTTTGAGAAAAAACGAGGTCAAAGTGTCAAAAAATCGGGTTTTTTGCAAAATTTGAAAATTCATCACTTATTTTGTTCGTCCAACAATAAAAAAATGGATAATTAAAAGAAAAGTGTCAAAATCTGTATCCTGAGTTTTGCCCAAAAAAAATGTCACNCGTCCAACAATAAAAAAATGGATAATTAAAAGAAAAGTGTCAAAATCTGTTTTGGCTGTTCAATAAATGACTATTTGCCGTATCCTGAGTTTTGCCCAAAAAAAATGTCACCCGAAAATTTTTATTCCGCCCATAATACCTAAATACATGAAAACCAAAAGTGAAAATTGAACCGGTTCGGGGAAAATTAAATTCTAGATAAGGCAGTATAAAGACTGGTTTTTTATTATGTCATTTATTGACACCAAAATTTTGCGACATATTTTGACACAACTTTATCTCCTTTATCCATACCTTTGCCGATGATAATATGGGCCCAAAAACTGATAGATAGTCGATTTCGAAGTGCATGTACACGACTAAAGACCTATGCTGATCCAATTCAATCGATAAACCGCTTTTTGATTTCATTTGACAATGTATTTTTACTTATTTGACGACAAATGCCACTGAATTTGACATAGTGAAAACCAGCCTGAAGTGACCTTAAGATCAAGGTGCAGGGATTATAGTCGAAAGTTCAAGCCTTAATTTAAGCCTAAATCATCTTTTACTTAAGTGCGGTAGGTACTGTAACTTCGCCGATATTAGTTTTCCCCGTTCAATAAATGACTATTACCTTGTTTGTTCCTACGAAAAAACCGCATTAACAAAAAGCCGATTTGATTCAACACATATTTCTTTCTAATGTTTCCTCAGTCTTTAAGGCGCACTTGATTAAACCGTATTAAAAAGTAAACAACCTCCGTTAGTTTTATTCGCCAATTTACTACGCTTTCTACTACGGTTTTCTAAAGTTTTTTTGAAAAAAGAGCACAAGGCAATCCAGGTTTGCAACAGAAATATATGCCCGTTCCATTATTTCTTGAGAAAAGAGTGAGGCAACAGGCTGTGAGGTATCAAAAATGTCAAAATTCCTTGGACACACACGCGAAATAATAGCAATTTTTTCTTGCCCGTTTTCTTGAGAGCTGCATACAGGGCTTAACAGCGCTTTATGTGCCTATATAAACAAGGTATATAACGGGTCTATTCTGCACTGGTAGTAAAAATTTGTTTACCGGTATATAAAGCTCCTCTCAATTTTAAAACTCTTTTCGCATTCTTGTACTCTTGTAACCATTAAATTTCGATGGCATCTCATAAGCTGGTAATAAAGTATTGCCCCGTGAAATGTGCAATGCCAGAAATTCCACAATTTTTCATAACTGAATTGTTGAATATTTTAACTGCATTGCCAACATATCTAGAATCGCGTTGACAAGAACTGGCAAGATTTTTTGGTAATACAATTTTCCGGTTACAAAATCTTTGGTAACGTGCAGAATAGACGTGTAATAAGTGACTATCAGGTGAATTTGCAGGGGTAAGTAGTAAAAGGTTTGAGCATTAATTTAATTTTTACTGAATTTTTTGAACGAATTCAAAAAATGAGGAAGTTATAAATTCGTCGTAAAAAATTACGTATGTTACCACATTACTTTGGACCACGTTAACCGATTTCGGCAATTATTTTTTTATCGGAAGGGTGGTACTGGTTTTCGTTTTTTTTACGGCCTTGTAACAAATATTTTCAACAATTTTATTGAGCTTGAGGCCGTTCTTCTACCAAAATGTAAATTATTGTTGTTTTCCACAAAAAGTTCTTTAAAAACGGCTTCAACCACAATAAAATTGTTGGAAAGGTGGTACCACAAGGGTGATATCATACTACTTAAAGGGCCCATAGATGATACCAGCATGCTGGCGCCATCAAGTGTTGGTGCCAGCCGATTGACCGTGTATGTTCTTGTTGTGTGATTGTACCAGCTGCTGGTGCGACATTAAAAACGATTTGATATTTTTATGATTGTTCCAGCATGCAGCAGCAGGATTACATGCCCCTCAGTAATTACAGTTATTACTTTACCTATTAGTATACTTTTAGGCCCACTGCTTTTCATTTAGAGAATTTTGGCGACGAAAATTTAGCGTAGCGATTGTGAGAATTGAGTAAAATTGGCTAAATTTTTTTAAGTAAAAAGTATTTTGGCGTAAATTTCTGTTCACAATGTTGCAGTTGTGAATTAAACAAACCAATGTTAATCAAAATGGTAGACAAATTATAAAATGTTTGCCCTATTCCTTTCCATCTTTTCCGGACATCATTTGCTGATATGTTATATGCTTCGAGCTTGGTGGTACAATCAGCAAGCTGGTGTCATGTATATCCCCTTTTAGGTTTTGACCCGATCATTGGATAATGAAAAAATTAACGGTACTCCTTTGCTTTTTTGCTTAAAAATTACTTGTTTAAATATAGTTCATACTATAACAAAAACTATATACATACATATGTACATAAATCCATAGTGTAATAAACAAAGCGAAATCAATATATGACATATTTATTTTCGATACGCTTATTTGACAACATTTTTGTCATTGCGTTAACCCATTTGCCAGACGCAAACATTATAAATGTATTTCAATTTAAATTTTTTTTTTTATTGTAATTTAAAAAATAATTTTTTTTAAAGCGTAACAAAGAAAAACTTCGGGCAAAATCCTGTAACTTCTGACTGGGAAGAGTTGCTGTCTTACTCGGTCAAAAGTGTTCCCAGTGAGAGGAATTATTTAGTCTATTCCTTTGAACTTCGGACTAAAACCTGTGGAACTGTCAAACTACAATTTTACGCTCTCAAATGAGAGTAAAAGGAGAACAGATGCAGAAGTGCATAGGAACGCACTGTAGAAACGTCAGTCGGTTTGTTTACATGTCATTTGTACAACACTGATTTAGCTGAAATATCACTAAATAACTATTAAAATCTATACATATTCAAACATTTCGTTGTTTACTTCCATTTTTTTTACAAATATAAGGTACTTTGCTTTCACCGCTGTTAGTTTTTGCTTGCACATGCAAATCAGCTGATCGTTTGACACTTTTCATGAACTTACAGGAAAAGAAACTCCGGACTAAATCCTGTAACTTCTGACTAGGAACAGTTGCTCAGTTACTCTCTCAAATGTGTTCCCACTTACAGGTTTTATGTCAATAGGAACGACTTCCTGTAAGTTCTGACTAAATCCTGTAAACCGGACTGCTATTGGAACAGACTAATTGCGTACTTGAACAACTTCCTGTAATTTCATACTAAGGATAATGGGATAAATTGTTTGAATTTATCAGTTTATCCGCATTCTTACATAAACGCACCTTGGTAAACAATTGAATAAAATTGATTATTGTTTAACTTATATGGCTAGTTACGTTTCATTCTTAACTCGTCTGAAGTGTTCATTTGCTTTTTATGTGTTCGTTGCAAAAGCGACCACCTGGCAAACTACCAAGGTGGAATTTTAATGAAATTTATGCATTTATCCACCAACATCGTTTGATAAGTGATAAACTGTGGTTAAACAGATTTCCATAGAAAGTTTGACAGTTCATTTATAACAATGATAAATGTATCCTTTTACCAGCAGTTTAGCATTTTTGATGAATACTCGAACAAACTAAAATTTAACACTTTTGAATGTAAACAAAGATTCTATCAGCTGTTCGTATAACTTGCAAGTTTCTGCAAATTTTCTGTTCGCGTACTGTTATACTGGATATTAGTCTGTTCCAACAGCAGTCCGGTTTACAGGATTTAGTCAGAACTTACAGGAAGTCGTTCCTATTGACATAAACCCTGTAATTGAGCAACTGTTCCTAGTCAGAAGTTACAGGATTTATTCGGAGTTTTTTTCCTGTAAGATCATCAAAAGTGTCAAACGATCAGATGATTCGCATGTGCAAACAAAAACCGAAAGCGGGGAAAGCAAAGATCCTTATATTTGTAAAAAAAAATGGAAGTAAACAAAGAAATGTTTGAATATGTATAGATTTTAATAATTATTTAGTGATATTTCAGCCAAATCAGTGTTGTACCAATGACGTAAACAAACCGACTGACGTTTTTACAGGAAATAGTGCTTTTTGCGTTCTCGTACACTTCTGATTCAGTTCTATTTTACTCTCACTTGAGAGAGTAACATTGTAGTTTGACAGTTCCACAGGTTTTAGTCCGAAGTTCAAAGGAACAGACTATATATTTCTCTTATGAGAGAACAGATGACATTTCGCCGGAATTTTTCTGCTGATGTTTTTTACTGGAGATTTTAAACGCGCGTACCTATTATGGGGCTCTGCAGCAACCTCCAATATACAACCTCCCAAGGTTCCAATTAATCTTAAAATAACTGTCCGCTCCGTTTTATGTCACAAGCAACCAAATACACCGTGACCGTGATCCCTACTGGTGCTTCTTAAATAAAAAAGTACGCCTTGGCGCACCAACAAAAAGTGCATGAT